TAAACACCTGATAGTCACCAGATTGTCTTACTTCTGCATTAAATAACTTTGTCCCAGATGTTTATTCTAATTTGTGCTAAAAACAGCTTGTAGCTCATATGAATACATACACAATACTTTCCAAGGCATTTGTTTTCAAGACCCATAATATGTTTGTTTAAACTACTTTTACCACACTTTTGTTACCTTTGTTTACATGTATATGCTTTGAATTTGCATACTGATCTTTGGGGATCCCATTAATTTTAGAGGTTTTCTTAGGTAGGGATCACTCAAAGGTGGCTTTGCCAGTTTCTTCAATTGAAATAAATTCCTACACATTATGTTTGGGTGATATTAAACATGCACTGTTAATAAAATTACATGCTCTGAAAGAGGCATAGATGAGACCCAAGTTTTGTCTGTTTCTGCTAATGTGCTGTACCAAGAATTTCCAATCTGGGGAATGGTGTGAGCTCCCACTGTTAGCCCCAGCTTCTGCCAACCTAGCAGTCAAAGCATGCATTCCCGTGGTATTTCTTTTCACCATTTTCCAGAAAGTGTTTTCAAGAAATTCCAAATGACAGGCATCTTGTTACCAAGTCCCCCTGGTGATACAGCAGGTTAAACAGCTGAGCTGAGCCATGACACTCTTTATCAGCACAAGATACAAAGGAATCCTGTAGCACTTTTAAGACCTGGAGAAAGACGATTGTAGCATAAACTTCCACAGACTCAATCTAATTCATCAAATAAATGGCATGGTTAATGACATCAATTAAATTCTTTATGGTAATATGCTGGCACGAGAAAAGATAACATACTTGTAAAATTGGCTGGGTTCTATTTTTAAATCATTTTTTTTTAGATTCATGTTGTGCTTCTAGATTGTAGGATAAGACAATTCTTTAGCTGTTTCACAACAAGAAATGTAATAGCACAGAAGGAAACAACAACAAATCCAATATAGTATGTGCCTTCAAATGGACTCCAAATTATGGCAGTCCTATCATTGTTTTTTTTTTGGCCATGGAGCTTTGCTTTACCTTCTTCTGAGGCTTAGAAAGTAAGATCTGTTCAGAGTCTCTCAGTGGGTTTCCATGGTTGAATGAGGATTCAAACTATGATCCTCTATAGATCTTGTCCAACATTGAAATCACTATGTCAACTCATTATATGCAGGTGAGTATAACGATTAACTATGTCAACTCATTATATGCAGGTGAGTATCTGCAGGGGATACATTCCCTGACTTTGTGTGGATACATGAAACCGTGGATAATAGCAACACCTATTGGAACAAAGGAATCTAGCACTAGACTTCCATAGAGTCACACAGTAGGAGTTCTGTACCCCGAACTCCAGTGAATGTGGAGGGTTGACTGTACAAGTCATTTATCTTTAGCCAAGATGGAAAGGTCTGAAAGGGCAAAACAAGTCAAGAGGCCAAATTCCCCACCTTATGCTTTGAACTGTGCAATGGTTATGGAGCCTACTGTGGATGAGGATTCTGTCCTCATCCTGCATTGCCAACACAACCTATCATGTTAGAATCATAGAACTGGAAGAGGCCCTCAAAAGACATCCAGTCCAACGCCCTGCCATTTATGAACATAAAACCAAAGCACTCCCGACAGCTTCAATTCAAGATTTCTAGAGAAGGAGACTCCATCACACTCCAAGGCAGGAGTATATCCCACTGTTCAACAGCTTTTACCATCAGGAAATTCACCCTAATGTTTAGATGGAATCTTTTCTTTCCATCTTGAACTTATTGCCCCGTGTCCTAGTCTCCAGAGCAGCAGAAAACAAACTCCCCCTTCCTCCTCAATTTAAGATCCTTTCAAATATTTAAACATGACCATCATGGCCCCTCCCAGCCTTCTTTTCTCCATGCTAAACATACCCAGACCCCTCAGCTATTATTCATAAGGCATGGCTTCCAAACTGTGACCCATTTTGATCACCCTGGACATGTTGTAGCTTGTCAATATCGTTCTTGAACCGTGGCCCCAAAAACTGGAGACAGACTTCCAAGTGTGGTCTGGGTGACACAGAATAAAGTGAAATTATGACTTTCCAGATATAGGCACTATACCCTAATAGTGTCTAGATCAGTGGTTCCCAACCTTTTTTTGACCAGGGACCACTTTGAGCAGGGACCACTCTCCAACATTAGTACCAAAAGGGTTACAAATTAGTTTTTGGTCAGCTTCAGATTCAGTTTGATTATTTGGGCTGCTGATTCAGAAAATTGCATTGGATAGACTACATCAGCAATAGTTTCCGATACAGAACATATGCCATCTAGTAGTTGACATCTGTTTGCCCACATAAAACCATATTTAATAATCTTGAGCTGATGTGGTAGTAGTAATCTTTCGTGGGTTGTCAGCCTCTTGCCTCCTGACATCCCCATTGCCTTGGCACTATAAAAGGTTTTCTCAAGACCAGTCACTCTTGTTGCATGGTTTCAAGGCAACAGTGTAGTAATGGTGAGGCCACGGATCATATTTTCATTCTTGGGGACCACAGGTTGGGAACAACTGGTCTAGATCGAGAGAAATAAATAGTAGCATTCTCTCTGCTTTGGTCAAATCTCACCTGGAATACTGTGTCCGGTTCTGTTGCATTGGCTAAAAAGGGGCTCTGTTATAGAGAGGTGGCTGTGGAGCCTACCCTTGCCCATCCTTCTTTGGCACATTCTGTCTCTACATACACTAGAGCTGGTTGCAAAACAACTGAGACACCACCCTTCTGTTTGTATTTTTCTCTTCTGACTCAACAGAGACAATGATCAGATTTATTTCCATTTAGCAGCCCAACATCTTTCAAGCCTGGAGTTTTTTTTTTCCTTAAAGAAGGGTGTGGTGGAGGATCTGTTTAAAACAGCAGTCCTCTTCACAGGGTACCAAAACTGTTGCTAGAGAGAAAGAAAGAGAGGGTGTAGAATTAGCCCCATTTGGCATCACTTTCACTGTTATAGCTCAGTGCTTTGGGATCATGGGAGTTGTGGTTTTGCAACATCTCTGCCAAAGAGGGCTGGTGCTTCACAAACCGAAATCACTACAATCCCATAGCACTGGGCCATGGCAGTCAAAGAGGTGCTAAACTGCATTAATTCCATAGTGTAGAGCAAGCATGGGCAAACTTTGGCCCTCCAGGTGTTTTGGACTTCAGTTCCCACAATTCCTAACAGCTTACTGGCATTAATTGCAAACCATTTGGACTAGACATTCTTGAAGGCTTGTCCAAACATCAAAGTCTTCAATTCAATTCTCACACCAGAAGCAACTTGCAGTTTCTCAAATCACTCCTGACACACACACACACACACACACAAATTAAGGCAGTTGGACACATTAATTGCTGAGCCTCAATGCTATGGGATCCTGGGAGTTGTAGTTTGGTGGCGGCACCCATCCTTCTTTGGCTGAGAAAGCTGAAGGCCTTGCAAGCCTCCAATGAGTCCCTGGCATGGATCCATAGCAGTGAAAGTGGCGTCAAACTGCATTAGTTCAACAGTGTAAGGTAAAGGTAAAGATTTTCCTCTGACATGAAGTCCAGTCGTGTCTGACTTTGGAGTGTGGTGCTCATCTCCATTTCTAAGCCGAAGAGCCGGTTGTAGACATAACTGCATGGAGCGCCATTAACAGTGTTGCTGCATCCAATGATCAGATTTTTCCTCCCTCACTTAGAATCATAGAATCATAGAGTTGGAAGAGACCTCATGGGCCATCCAGTCCAACCCCCTGTCAAGAAGCAGGAATATTGCATTCAAAGCACCCCTGACAGATGGCCATCCAGCCTCTGTTTAAAAGCTTCCAAAGAAGGAGCCTCCACCACACTCTGGGGCAGAGAGTTCCACTGCTGAACGGCTCTCACAGTCAGGAAGTTCTTCCTCATGTTCAGATGGAATCTCCTTTCTTGTAATTTGAAGCCATTGTTCCGTGTCCTAGTCTCCAGGGCAGCAGAAAACAAGCTTGTTCCCTCCTCCCTATGAGTTCCTCTCACGTATTTATACATGGCTATCATGTCTCCTCTCAGTCTTCTCTTCTGAAGGATAAACATGCCCAGCTTTTTAAGCTGCTCCTCATAGGGCTTGTTCGCCAGACCCTTGATCATTTTAATTGCCCTCCTCTGGACACATTCCAGCTTGTCAATATCTCTCTTCAATCGTGGTGCCCAGAATTGGACACAGTGTGATTCCAGGTGTGGTCTGACCAAGGCAGAATAGAGAGGTGGCATGACAGTGTGATTCCAGGTGTGGTCTGACCAAGGCAGAATAGAGAGGTAGCAAGACTTCCCTGGATCTAGACACTATAATCCTATTGATGCAGCCCAAAATCCCATTGGCTTTGTCGAAGGCTTTCATGGCTGGAATTACTGGGTTGTTGTAGGTTTTTCGGGCTATATGGCCATGTTCTAGAAGCACTCTCTCCTGACATTTTGCTTGCATCTATGGCAAGCATCCTCAGATGCTTGCCATAGATGTTGTGGATGCTTGCCATAGATGCAGGTGAAACATCAGGAGAGAATGCTTCTAGAACATGGCAATATAGCCCGAAAAACCTACAACAACCCAGTGATTCTGGCCATGAAATTGTTGGCTCATGTTTAACTTATTGTCCACAAGGACTCCAAGATCTGCTCTCGAGCCAGGCATCCCCCATTCTGTCTCTTTGCATTTCATTTTTTTCTGCCTAAGTGGAGTATCTTGCATTTTTCGCTGTTGAACTTCAAAACACCCTTTTCCAAGCCTGAACTCCTTTTATTTTCCAGGAAGGGTGTTGATGGAGGACTGGCTTGGAACAACCACCCTCTTCTTCAGCTGCCAGAGATGTTGCCAGAGAGAGAGAGAGAGAGAAAGAGAGGGAGGGAGACAGGAGGGAGAGAAAGCATTGCCCCACAACAACCATTGAAAAGAAGCAAATCAAAAGGGGAGGGGGGCGGGGTAATGGCTGTAGCTGTGGGAAAAGGCCACCCCACCACATGCCTCTCCCCTCCGCCTTTCCTCTTAGTCGTGTTGTGGGCGGGAAGGGAGCCACCAAATCCTCGGGGGGAGTTGGAGGATTGAAAAAAAGCAGCAATCCGTGGAATAACATCCCCGGGAGGGAGAGAGAGAGACAGAGAACAGAAAGAAAGGGGCGGAGGAAAAGTTTCTTTGGGGCGACGCCGCCTGAGCCGCAGCAGCAGGAGCAGCCTCCTCTTGACAAGGAGCGCCTTTCATCGCCGCTCAGGAGAGAAAAGGAGGAGAAGGAGCGAGAGGAGAGAGGCATCCCTGCCCAGAGAAAGGAAGATGAGGATGCGGCTCTTCGCCTCCCGGAGGGTCTCCCCCGTTTTCCGCCTCCTTTGGTGCCTCCTGAGCGCATCGTGGGCCTCTGCTGCCGGGTAGGGAAGGGAAAGAAGGTGGGGAAAGGGGTGAGAGATGGGGGCAGACTGCGTTTGGCCTTCCCTCCTTTCCCTGGCCCGACAGAGGAAGCCTGGGGTACATCCACAGTGGGATGAACACAGCTTGGCTGGGGCACCGCTTTCATTGCCATGGCTCCATGCTAGGGAATTTAGGGAGTGCTCATTTGGTGCTCTTGGACACGAATGGCTTCGAACTACAGGAAGAAGATTCCACCTGAACATGAGGAAGAACTTCCTGACTGTGAGAGCTGTTCAGCAGTGGAACTCTCTGCCCCGGAGTGTGGTGGATGCTCCTTTGGAGGCTTTAAACAGAGGCTGGATGGCCATCTGTCAGGGGTGCTTTGAATGCAATATTCCTGCTTCTTGGCAGGGGGTTGGACTGGATGGCCCATGAGGTCTCTTCCAACTCTTTGATTCTATGAAATTCTATGAAATCTATGAAACCTGCTGCCTATGAGTATTCTATGAGTGTTTCTCAACCTGGGGGTCGGGACTCCTGGGTGGGGTCGAGAGGGGGTGTCAGGGGGGTCGCCATCAGAAAACACAGTATTTTCTGGGGCTCCTGTGTGGGAAGTTTGGTGGTGCTCTTTGATTGTAGGTGAACTGTATACCCCAGCAACTACAACTCCCAAATGTCAAGGTCTATTTTCCCCAAACTCTTTTCAATTTTTTTAATTTTAAAAAGGTAATACACCGACCATATACATTGCAGACATATACACATACACATACATAGACAACCCGCCACCCACAGTAGTTACCCCTCCACCCACCCCCAGTGCTACCCACCACCTTGGTTTCCGTCATTGATCCCCGCAGAGTTTATGCATATTTTATTTAACCCTCTATACTTCTAGTTCAATAAATTCCTCTTGCTTTCTATTTCTTTAACTCTCCTGTCAAGTATGCTAAGGCCAGCTTCCAGTTTCTTTCAAATATTTCATGATTTTTATATTTCAAATTGCTAGAATCTTAGGCATCTGTGCATAACCCCACAGTTTATCCTTCCAATTTCAATAAATGTTCACCTTTGGGCATATTGAGTATCCATGCCAAGTTTGGTCCAGATCCATTTTTGTTTGAGTCCACCATGCTCTCTAGATGTAGGTGAACTACGACTCCAAAACTCAAGGTCAATGCCCACCAGACCCTTCCAGTATTTTCTGTTGGTCATGGGAGTTCTGTGTGCCAAGTTTGGTTCAATTCCATTGTTGGTGGCATTCAGAATGCTCTTTGGTTTTAGGTTAACTATAAATCCCAGCAACGACAACTCCCAAATCCCTCCCCAACCCCACCAGTATTCAAATTTGGGCGTATTGGGTATTTGTGCCAAATTTGGCACAGTGAATGAAAATGCATCCTGCATATCAGATATTTGCATTACACAACAGTAGCAAAATTAGAGTTATGAAGTAGCAATGAAAATAATTTTAAGGTTGGGATCACCACAACATGAGGAACTGTATCAAGGGGTCGCGGCATTAGGAAGGTTGAGAAACACTGGAAACCAGGATTCCATAGCACTGAGCCATGGCATGGGCAAACTTTCTAACTTGGGGTCACATGGTGGGCTGGATTGGGGTGGGCAGGCCAGGAGGGAGGGAGGGGGTTCTCCCCAAGCCCCCTCCTTCCCCTTTCCTCTCCTTCCTCTTCTCTTTTGGAGACACAAAGTGAAAGAAAGACTGGAAAAGGTTGGATCCCAAAAGGGTTGGTCTTGGTCAGGATGAGATGGTGAACGGGAGAGAAAAAGTGTCTCCATTGGACCCTGTATTGCCTACTCCTGATATAGAATCCTAATCCTAGAGCTGGAAGAGACTCCCAAGGGCCATCCAGTCCAACCCCTGCCATGCAGGAAGGCACAATCAAAGCACTCCCAATAGACAGCCTCTGTGGAAAAGCCTCCAGAGAAGGAGACTCTACCACACTCCCAGTTAACCTAGGAACTAATCACACTAGAGAATGAATCCACTTTAAATCCGGTTTTTGCCTCCTGCAGAATTCTGGGATTTGTAGTTTAGGGAGCCTGTTAAAAGCTCCTCCCTAAACTACAAACTCCAGAATTCCAAAGGAGGCAGCAACCAGATTTAAAGTGAATTCATTCTCTAGTGTGATGAATAACTTTTCAGGAAGGTCTGCCTAACCTTTTCAGTCAAATCTCTTTCCCTGCCATTTCAAACCATTGCTCCTTTGTGTCCTGGTCTCTAGAGCAGCAGAAATTCAGTTTTCTCCCTCTGCCTCAAAGGGACATGCTTTAAAATCTTGAAACATGGTTCTCATGTTCCCTCTCTACCTTCTCTTCTCCCAGCTAAACATCCCCCAGGAGGAAAGGAGGAAAGAAAAAGAGAAGGAAGGAAAGAAGGGAGTGAGGGAGGAAGAGAAGGATGGGTGGGAAGGAGGGAAGAAAGGGAGGAAGAGAAAGATGGAAGAAAGGAAGGGTGAAAGAGAATGGAGGGAGGGAGGATAGAGTGAAGGAAGGAAAGACAAAAAGGAAGGAAGGAGAAAGGGGGGGAGAAGGAGGAAAGAGGGAAGGAAAGAAGGCGAAAGGGTGGAAGAGGAGGAAGGAGGGCGGAAGGGTGAAAAAGGGAGATAAGGAAGGAAAGGAGGGTGGGAAGGGGAAGGAAAGAGAGAAGGAAGGAAGGATAGGATGGTGGGAGTGAGAATGGCCTGAGAAAAGAGCCCAAGGGGGCGCATCCAGCCCAAGGGCCTGGGTTTGCCCATACCTGGTGTAGATGTACTCTTAAGTATCAGCATCCAAGGAAAATGAAAGGGTCCTGGTAGACCATTTTTCAAGAGGGAACCTTTCCCCCTTAGTTTTTTTTTCTTGGGGGGGGGGGGAGATGGTTTCTCTGCAGCAGGGAAAACCATGGCAATTCTTGTGGCATCTTCAAAACCAACAAGTTTCATTTGGCACCAGCCACCATCAGCTCCCTGAAGTGTCCTATCAAAGCGTGTGCCAATCAAAGCATGTTGGTTTTTTTATGGTGCCCCCAGGCCCGATCTTGTTTTTGCTCAGAGAATCCTTTACTTTTCCAGCTGCCCATAATTTGGTGTGATTTTTGCTGCAGAAGGCTAACAGGATCATGTGTGTTTGCTTTCAAGGGTGCATCTACACCAGGCCTAGGCAAACTTGGGCACTCTAGGTATTTTGGACTTCAACTCCCACCATTCCTAACAGCCTCAGGCACCTTCCTTTCACCCCTCAGCCTCTTAAGCGGCTGAAGGGGGAAAGGAAAGGGCCTGAGGCTGGTAGGAATGGTGGGAGTTGAAGTCCAAACCACCTAGAGGGCCCAAGTTTGCCCAGGCCTCATCTACACTGTAGAAGGAATGCAGTTTGGCATCACTTGAACTGCCATGGATCAGTGCTGTAAAGTTTTACATGGTCTTTAGAATTCTCCACCAAAGCAAGTACGTACCTCACCTAACTACAATTCCAAGAATTCCCTAAAATTAAGCCATGGTAGTTCAAGTGCTGTCAACCTGCATTAATTCATTCGATAGAGTAGCTGCGCCCCAAGTTGCTGTGGAACTATATCGATTCTATGAGTTTTACAGTGTTTTCATAGCCAAAGGCTCAGAGATAGTTCTGACAGTTCCTTTCTCTGAAATATAGCTCACAGCACCTGGGATATGTTGACTGCCCCCTCCCCATCTGAGTACTATCCAGGACCAACTTTGCTTAGCTTCCAAAATCAGCCAGATCTGTAGCCTTTCTGTTCTGGAAATTACAGAATATTAGGCTGTCAACTGCAGACCCACCTAGGAACATTTGAGTTTCCCTCCCATTTCAGGGTTTCCTACCTCCTTGGAATTGTCACAAAACTGGCCTTACTGTTCGAGATTTTTAGTGGCCACTTTAGACAACTTTTGGGAGTGTCATAAAACAGAAGGATATTGCCCGTCATTTACTTGTTCATATTTTATTTTTACTGCTGGGCGAGAAGCTTGTAAGATTTTCTGCCTCAGGTACCAAAATACCTTGGTTTTCAGTGCTCCATGCCTTGATTTTTGGTGGGTGTGGGATGCCAATGCTGTTCTACCCCAGGCAGCTCAAGTTATTTGGCAGACTCTGGGCTCATTTTGTGGGTGGAGGGTGGAAATTGAATACATTCTTGCGATTGCTGTCAGTGCCGTTCTATGCATCTTTCCTTAGAAAGTGTGACTCAGTGAGGTCAAGTCAGCACAAGATTCAAGAAGACTATGGTTTTCCCAGATTTTGTACAGCTTACAATGATGTGTTTATGTGTTGGGCCAGGAGGAGATGATTATGGGTACATTTCTTCTGCCAGCAACTTAGGTTGGAAAAAAACTATAGTAAAAGTTGGAGATAATTTCAACACCTTCTTTTTACATTAAATCAGTGGTTCCCAACCTTTTTTTGACCAGGGTTTCCTTGACCAGGGACCACTCTCCAACATTAGTACCATAAGTGTTACAAATGAATTTTTGGTCAACTTTAGATTTGGTTTGGTTATTTGGGGTGCTGATTCAGAAAATTGCATTGGATTGGTATCTAGTTTCTGATACTGAACATATGCTATCCAGTAGTCACCATCTGCTCACCCACAGAAAACCATATTTAATAAGCCTTGGCACTATAAGAGGGTTTTGCGAGACCAGTCACTCTTGTTGCAATGGTGTAGTAATGGTGAGACCGCTGACCATATTTTAGGTCTTATGGACCACAGGTTGGGAACCACTGCCTTAAATTTTTATGCTCATAGCTTTTATATCCATCTTTATATCTCAGATCTTCACTTTTACCTTTCCCATTATATTATAACTCTAGGCCAAAATGGGACTTTTCCAAGCTTTGCTCTCTCCAGTTGTTTTTTTTATATATAATCTTTATTCAGTTTTTCAAATACTCTCTCCAGTTGTATCTGTTTATGAACTATAACTATGTAAGGAAAGGATACATCCAAAGCCAAAGAATCGTAGAGTTGGAAGAGACCACAAGGGCAATCCAGTTCAACCCAATCCTGCCATGCAGGAACACATAAACAAAGCACACCCAACAGGTGGACTCTTTTTTCCTGCAATTTGAGCCATTGCTCTATGTTCTAGTCTAGTTCTAGTCTCCAGAGCAGCAGAAAACAATCTTGCCCTTTCCTCAAGGTGACCTCCTTTCAAATATTTAAACATGGCTATCATGTCCCCTCTCATCCTTCTCTTCTCTAAGCTAAACATACCCATAACTTTTAATTTGTCTTGTCCCATTTTGTCCTTGTTAGGCCCACATACCTTCTAGCAGCTCCTGAGATCATCAGGCCTGGAGCAAACATTACTATTGGAGTCGCTCTGCTGAAGGCAAGCCCACCACAAGTTACAATCAAAGCAGAAGTGCTTTCTGGGAACAATTCAGTGCTTCACGGAGAAGGCGTATTTCAAAGAGGTGAGATGGATGTTTTGACTTCAAAAAAAAAATCCTCAGTGTATTCTTTTTCCTTTCTAATTAGCTTCCAAGATTACAACACATTATATCCATGTTTATTCAAGAGCAAATCACACAGTATTCAGTGGAGTGTGTGTGTGCCTTCCAGTCGCGTCTGCTGTGACCTGATTTCATAAGGTTTTATTAGGCAAGGGGTCCTCAAAGGCAGTTGTTCTGGTTCCTTACTTTGAACTGCAGCACTTGGTTTTCTTTGGAAGTCTTTCTAGGCTTGGAGAAAGTTCTTTTTGGGTTGTCACTTCCAGAATCACCCAGCTATTTGTGTTATGCCAATCATGATGTGTCTTGTTATGTTGGCTGCAGGATTCTGGGAGTGACAGTTCCCCCAAAAAGGCACTTTCCCCCTCCTCTGAACGTTCTAGTTTGCAGTATTTGGGGAAGAGGGACCAGGGTCAGTTTTGTCTGTGTTCAAGTAGCCTGTCGACCTGTGGCAACCCCAGTGGTGCAGTGGGTTAAACCCTTGTGCCAGCAGGACTGAAGACCAATAGGTCAGAGGTTCGAATCTGGGGAAAGCGCAAATGAGTTCCCTCTGTCAGCTCCAACTCCTCATGCGGGGACATGGGAAAAGCCTTCCACAAGGACGGTAAAAACATCAAAACATCCGGGCATCCCCTGGGCAATGTCCTTGCAGATGGCCAATTCTCTCACACCAGAAGCTACTTGCAGTTTCTCAAGTCGCTCTTGACACACACACACACACACAGACACACACACACCCAAAAAACATGATAATAAAAGGTTTTTTCTTAGGCAGTGAATAGTCAGAGGTGATTTTGCCCATCCTTCCCTCTGAAATGTAGCGTATGGGTTTGCTATTCGTTGTTTCAGTCCAATCCAAGTAATAAGTGCTGTCTTGACTTAGTTTCCAAGATCAGACAGGATTTAGTACCTTTAGGGTATCTCTGTAATAAATATGCTTAGCATTGCAGTTCAAATGGGGATGAATGTTAGGATTGTTGACATATTTAAGCCTGGAGTTAGATTCAAAATGCTTAGTATATGCTCCATATGTATTGGCTATGTAGGATTAAAGATAAAATCTAGCTGGTGAATTGTTTTAATAATTTAACTGGCTTGAATTTTTGGGGAGAAGGGAAACCATCAAGGCTTAGACCGCATACTTCTTCTTCCTTAACTTCACTGTTTATACCTTGAATCTGTATCTCACTGACACACAACTTCTCTTTTAAATGTAACCCTGTGTGAGGTCACTTCTCTATTTCTGTTTGGGAGAGGCAGATGTGCTCAGGAAGTTGGTGTGTTTCTTTTTACTGGTATGTGGGTGAGAGAAGCTGGAAGCAGCTCTAGCAGTCCTGCAAGCATGTTTGAAAAACAGAAACAACAACAACGAAAAACAGAAACTAAACTACAGGAATTGGGTCAAATGAGGAGAATTCCACATGGATTCTGTTTGTTCTAAGGCAGTTGTCATAATTAAAGCGCGGTGTTATGGGAAGTGAAAATGCCTGTTGTCTGTTGAAATAATATCAGAACACAGATATCCTTTTGGCTCTAAGGGCCCACCCTTAGCATTACAAATAATCCAAAACATACTCAAAGCATGCATTTCCATGACACTTCTCTTCACCATTTTCCAGAAAGCATTGTCAAGAAATTCCGAACAACAGGCATCTTGTTACCAAGTCCCCCTGGTGATACAGCAGGTTAAATTGCTGAGCTGCTGAACTTGCTGACTGAAAGGTTGGCAGTTCAAATCCAGGGAGCAGGGTGAGCTCCCGCTGTTAACCCCAGCTTCTGCCAACCTAGCAGTTGCAAATGTGAGTTGATCAATAGGTACCCTTCTGTGGGAAGGTAATGGCACTCCATGCAGTCATGCTGGCTACATGATCTGGAGGTGTCTATGGACAACGCCAGCTCTTCGGCTTAGAAATGGAGATGAGCACCACCCTCCAGAGTTGAACATGACTAGACAATGTCAAGGAAAAACCTTTCCCTTTACTATGCCAGTAAGGGTATGAATAGAAAATGAATGACTAGAAACATAAATGAATATGACTAGATTTAATGTCAGGGGAAACCTTTACCTTTGTGTCCCTAGCCTGCTTTCCTTCCCATCCCATGACTACTGTCATTGTTAGCCACATTGGCATTGGGAAGATTGTGAAGTAGGCCCTTTGGGTGTTGATTTTTGGCAGTAGGCAGTAAAAAATGAATTAAAACTTGAGGTGGAAAACAATCAAATGCCTATTATTAATTATTTTAATAAGCTGCTTGGGTCTATCTACCACAGATAAAGTAAACAGTAGCTAACTTGAGTATTCCTTAGTGAGTCTATATGAGTAACAAAGCAGAAGGAAAAGGTGAAAGGAGGGAAGCTTGCCTCACTAGCTATTCTGAGGATGTTGGAAAGCATAAATTGGCTAGTGATATGAATGGCAGAAGCTAGTGAAAAAGGAAAACAAAAATTGATTTATTTGAGAAGAGGCTTTCAAGCAGTGTTTTTATTTAATTATACAAACCGAGTGACATTGGGCAAGTTATACTCTCTCAGCTTTGGAGGAAGGCAAATGGAAAGCCTCTTCTGAAGAAATTTTGCCAAGAAAATCCAGTGATAGATCCACCTTAGGTTTGCCTTATGTTGGAAACAACTTGAAGGCACTCAGCAACAATAAGACTTACCAGGCATGATTGTTTCACTTCACATTGTTAGTTTTGGATAAAAAGTTTACGGAAAATACCTTCATTTTCTGTGATATTGGAACCTGTCCCCCTTCTTTCCATGCTATTGCTGCGTCTGGTACCCAAGTTTTTGTTAAGTCATCTTCAGGTGGAATACTTGTATAGTGCAGTCCTGTATATGTTTATGTTGCTGTGTTTTATGGCACTATTATGTGCTGTTTTGTAAGTCGCCTCGAGTCCCTTTTGGGAGAAGGTGGTGACATATAAATAAAGGTATTATTATTATTATTATTATTATTATTATTATTATTATTATTATTTGAAACACAACAAGATTAGCACACAGCAAACAAGATCACTCTGCTGACTGTTGTATTGGATCATACGTTGGACACTTCCCAAGTGTCTAGGACTGTGTGATGTATTGGCGAATAATGTGTGCAAATCCCAGTAAAGTGGTCTTTTGTAAATGATGATGATGATGATGATGATTATTATTATATGTTTATGCAGAAATAATGTTCACTGCATATATCGAGGCTTATTCTCTACTTAGTGTGGCTAGGATTGGATCCAAACCTTCACAGATATTTCAAAAGACATTGCCAGACATAGTAGACAAACCTGTTGAAACAGTACTGTGGTTAATGTACGTGGGTTGGCGAATGGGAATACACATCCTTCAAAGAACTAAATGCAATAAAAGCCAAAGCTGCTGCTTTCATCATCTTCTCAAAAGATAGATGTTTTATTAATGGAAAAGACTGATGTATTTCTGCCTGTGCGTACTCAAGTGCTTCTTAAGGACTATTTAGAATCAAAGTTCAAAAATTTCTGTACCAGACACACTCAAACCATTTACTGGACAATTCGAATGTTGTATTGCAAATGGGTTGAGAGTTCCTGGTACATAAATGTCCAAGCTTTTTTTTCTGAGTAGTGCCCAAAGCGTACAGGCTGAAATGAGCTGGACTTTTTAAAAAAATCCTCAAAAACTAGAATATTTTGAGCATCTTGATACATGTTTTCATTTTATTTATGAATTCCAGTGGATGCTCCCCAGTTTCCGTTTCATTTACTTGTATCATCAGAACTGCTATTTTTAATAGTCCTGCTATATGAAATGGAAAATGTAGAGGAAAGGCTATTTATCATGCCCTGAATGATGCTTGCATAGTAGAAGAGCAGGTGCATCCCCCTCATCCATTATGTACAATAGGCAGCTATTCTGTAGTGAGACCCATCCATGCATGTGTCTAATGCATGCAACATTCCCATACTCTTTTGCAGACCATGAAGAATGGTCTGCAAATTGCAAATTGGGACTTGATGCAGATGCTAGGTTCACATTTGTCATTAGGGGTGTGTTCTGCTATGACAAGAGGAGGAAATATTTAGACCATTAAGTGTTCAAAGCTGCCAATACACTTATTGCAATCCCAGAATTAATCAGAATGATGTATAGATTTATGGTTTTTTTCTTTAATTTTTCAGCAATTTGTTTCCCTGCTGAAATATTGCTCCTTATCAGGAATGCTGATCCGCATATTTACTCCAGAAAAGAATTAGATACAGTATTTGCTATTTAGGTTTCTTATCCTGGTACAAATCTATAACAGGCTGCAGAAGTGTTAGAAAGGGGTTGCTGTGAGTTTTCCAGGCTGTATGGACATGTTCCAGAAGCATTCTCTCCTGACGTTTCGCCCAGATCTATGGCAAGCATTCTCAGAGGTTGTGAGTTCTGTTGGAAACTAGAAAAAAGGGGTTTATATATCTGTGGAATGTGTCCAGGGTGGGAGAAAGAAGTCTTGTCTGTTTGAGGCAGGTGTGAATGTGGCAATTGGCCACCTTCATTAGCATTGAATGACTGCTTTTCATCAGTAAACAACACAGTCAGTTACCCAGCATGGTTCCTTTTTTTTTTTTTAAAAAAAATAACATTTTGATGTAAAAACGGAAATGCCTCCAGACTCTTTTACAAACACCCCTAAACTTAAAGTAGACCTCATTAACATATGTATCTGATTTTAAGGTTTTACATAAATCAGTGACTGTTTCCAGTTAAGAACACTTTATGATAAGTCCTGGCTTTATGCTATACATTCATAAATATGAGAACTGCTCATTTTTGAATACTTATTTAAAATAAAATGAAATACTAACATAAAATGTCTCACCAACTTCAGTGTATGATTTGTACATGTCACCATGGTCAATAAAGTCAGACTGTTCCTACTTTAGATTTTCCTCTGCTAGCAGGAATTCAGAAGAGCATACAATTTTTCTAAATGTACTGCACAATA